CTTTTTGTTTGATTTTTGTCCTTGTTCAAAATCACTCCTTCTTGAGTTGAATTTCATCACTTTGGCTCATTTTCCAATACTCCTGCAAGTAAGCATACTTCATCAGTTTTCGGGAATACCTTTAAGTGTTTTTGAACTAAAACAAAAGTCTAAAGGCGCAAATAAGTAGTCAAAATCTCTACTTATCACCCGGTACCGGAGAAAGGTTTCATGATAGAGTACCGATGCCTGCAAAAATATAAAAAGGAAAAGTCATTAGAGATATCAAAAACTAAATTCGAAGATAAAAGAGTGTAATGACACCTTACCCGGTTCAACGCTTTTTGTGCTTCATTGAACAAGCACGACACATCCATCTCATTCATTTTTGCCTGGTCTTCTTCGGTTACCAGGCACCGGAGGTAGCTAGCTACTCTGACTAGGGTGAAAAGAACCCGGGCATCCTCTGAGACTGTGATGATAACTGACTGCTTCCGGCCGGGATCCATGCTCAGGACAGGGAACCGGTTGATTAATTTTGGGCTCGAATTCGGCCCACCGACCTACGAGGATGAACTTTTCCTCAGCACCTCTAAATCACCTAACCCGAAGAAGTCTTCCAGAGCGGTAGAATCCACACCGTCAAAAAAGGAATAGAGGGGATCATCCGCACCATGAGCCCCTTCGTTGGATCACTCGGGCTTTATCGAACATAGACTCTGTAAATGAAGGCGACCCTGAAATTTCTATAACACCGAGTGGAGCGGAGTCGGCGCCTCGAGAGGTCTCGGCCCTCACCTCTGCACCAACCTCCTGAGAGGGATTAGCCTCCGTTATTTCCCCATCGGCTGTCTCCCGCTCTTCTGGGATGGACGGCTCACAGGCCACAAAAATAACGTCCTCCTCGGGCTCGTCCCTGAGCCGGTAAAGCAAGTCTGAGTCAGGCACTTGGGAGCTGGAGCTTTCCTTTGGCTTACTGGCCAACCTTCCCTTTGGCTTCTTTTTCTCTGAGCTCGGGGAACTAGGAGCCCTCCTTCTTTTCTTCTCTCCTGCTGCGGCCCCGGGCTACCTCGAAGCAGAAGGATCAATGGGTAGGTCTTCGCCCCTCACTAAAGGCCTAAGCTCAATGGTCTTAGGCAAGCCTGCAAAAAGAGAAGAGAAGGAATGAGAACATAGTGTTAAAAAAGGGAGCCTAATGCTACTTTTTCGAGAAAGAAATCTTACAGCGGGAACGGGCCTCCCAGCGGCCCTTCGAGAGCTCGCACCACGAGCGCTCTATATAAGGCATTTGCGAACAAATGCTCTCGATCCACTCCTTGAGCCGAGGAATGGCATTTGGGACTCGAGCGAGGGCTGCACCACAGCAAATACCAATGAGGAAAAGGGAGATAAAACGTAAAATCGACATCTAAAAGAAAGTACACTTACGTGATACATTCCACTTCTCGGAGAATGGCCTAAATTCTACAGGTATCAGGTCGGCGGTCCTCACTCGGACAAAGCGTCCCTGCCAACCCCGATCCCGGTCCTCGTCGATGCTTGAAAATGGGGCTTTGCTAGCCCGACACACGAGCTTTATCAGCCCCCCTCCCCCCGAAAGATTCGGGGACTGTAGAAGCGGAGTAAATGATTGATAGTGAACAAGCAGAAGTCGACCTCGTTCAAAAAGTATCGGAGGAGGATTACGATCCTCCACATCGATGGGTGAATCTGACTGAGGCACACGTCAATCGTCATACCTCCTGCAAAAGTTGAGGATAACTGGGTCCACCGGGCCCAGCGTGAAGGAATAAGTGTAGACACTTAAATACCCCTCCATGTGGGTAGTAATGTCATCATGAGGCCCGGAGACTACTATGTCTTTATCCGCCCAGCCATTGTCCTTTCGAACCACAGGAAGGATGGCCTCGGTGATAGAGCAAATGTACCTGGACACCGCCTCACATCGGCCTTGCACCGATGAGGTTTCGACTTTAAAGTCGTCCGCGACCGAACACCTCCACAGGGATGAACATTTTTAAGGGGGGTTCAACTGCCGGTTCATCGGTAGCCGCACCCAGAGCGGACCTCTCGAGGACTACCACATCAAGGGCGGTCTCCTCGACCTTGGTGGACGGCTACGAGGAAGAAGAAGCGACCTTTTGAGGAACAGTCTTGAAGGTTTTCGCCATTGCTACCTTAAAAAGGCTTGAAGAAGTATGAAGGAAGGTTGAAAGAAGAAGGGAAAAAGTTTGCTGAGGAGATTAAGCGTGCTGGTTTGGGTAGAAGATAAATAAAGACTCGTAGTTTGCCGAAAAGTCTTGAAGAACGAAGGTAAAAATAGTGAGGTATGAAGAAAAACAATAAGTATCTTGAAGGTTCGAAGGTAGAAGCTTGATCCAAAGTAAAAAATGAATGAATGAGGGGAGTATTTATAGGGGTTCCGCGCCGTTTCGCATCCAGGGACGACCTGCTGATGGCTGACACGCGTTGAAGTCATTATTACGCGACTAACGGGACGTTTCAGATTTTTGGTCGTTTCTGCTACGGCGTGTTGAAGAAGGGATCGAAGTGCTCATGTCGTTTCTCGTCGTGAACTTACTCTCCGAAAAACGAGGGGACTATGTGTATACGGGTGAAACCAAACCCTTGAGATGCCTCGGTTGCCAATGAAGTAAACGGAGTAAGAGACGTGGCGGCAAGGAACCGGGACCGAGATAAGGAGCCCCTCAAGCCGGGGTCCGGGGGCACAACGCCCGCCCTCGGGAATATCGGTGCCATAACCCCAGGATCGGTTCAAATCCCAAAAGACTTCAGAGAGCATTATCGGGCAACCGAACATGACTAACAAAAGACCGCGATCTCTGTGACTAGCCGGATATCATGACGTGGATCTCGGCACGTACCGGCGGAAATTCGGTGATTAGTTAAACGAAAGATTTTTACCTTTTATGGAATTGTACTTAGAGTAGGACTCCCCTACTATATAAAAGGGGATCTGATTATTCATTAGACACACTGATACGCATATCAAGGCAATATACTATTATTTTCTTTGTTATTCAAAGTTCTCACTTTTGTTCATGAGTGCTTCGTTAGTATGAGTCCGGAATCGAGGGCAGACATTTCTTGAAGGTCGTTATTGAGTCCGGAATCACCCCCTTAAGCGGTTTGACAATTTATTACACCCCTTATCTGTTTAATCTAACGCAATTTATCATTTGTATTGAATTAATCCGCATATCCTTAAAACCACTTACAAATTTAATTTTTATCCGTTTTTTGAGGGTAAACATATACGTTAAAATTTTGTAAAAAATTAGCGAATAAAGAGTTTTTTCTCTCATTAATATAAAAGAAAAAAAATTGCATAAAAAGTGCGTCCCACGATCTGTATTTGCAAATTTTATCTTTGTCACTCAAAGCTTCAAATCTCACCTTTTTTTTTCAATCTGTATTCTTTGCATGGATATTAAAAATAAAGCCATTGAATTGTTTAGTGGCTTTCAATTAACAGCTGCTAAATAACGTCACAGCTTCTTTTCACCGTCAAAATTTTCTAATTGAATTATGGACCTTTTTTCTTTTCTTACATTTTTTTGCCTTAATCATAAATAATTGGTTGATTGTTAGTTAAACAACTTCATGAAGGTGTCACTATTCCACCCGATACTCTTGTATTTTAGGAATTACTTTTAAGAAGATATGTATTAAATATACAAATAAATTTGAAATAATACTTAATTAGTCAGTTTCCCCTTCTATTTTAACAAACCAATGATTACATATACATAATTAGCTACGAAAAGCAAAAGACGAAGAAAAAATTGGAGTAATACAACTAGGATTTGTATATGTTTTAGGGATTTAATTTTCAAGTTACATGATTGCCAAATATAGCATCCAATTTATTGGTTTTTGGATTAGTAGTAATAATTTTGTTTTATGTATGGTTAATTTTCTCTTATACCTCAAAACATTTGATTACCTGCTCAAAGAAAAAAGAAGGGCGTTATTTGTTCTTTGAGAAAGAGTGAGTTCAGAAATGTGGCCGTTGTAATAATTTGATTTTTCTACTGTAAAAAAGAAGCTTTGACTTGTGCTCCTTGTATTAAATTATTTTTCTCCAACGCTCTTCGTATTTATTACTCCTACTAGCTTTGATTTTATGAGCTGAAAACTTGTCCTTGGACACCTTTTTTTTCATCATAATAACTTCAAAGTTTCCTATCGAAACTACCAGTTCAAAAATTAAAAAAAAAATAATTGCAATTTTCTCCTGCTTTTTTCCCTCCTGATTATATGAGGAAATTAAAGTCAAATTTGCCTTGGGAGCTTCCATTCTAGAGAACATATTTTTTTTTAAGTGTTTTTCAAAAAAATATTTTTGGCGAGAAGTAATTTATTTTTGACTAATTAATTTGAAAAATATTTTTGAACCGTCAAACTTTTAAAAAGTATTTTTAAATATATATTTTTTTCAAAAGTATTTTTCAAAAATTTATTTAAGAAAAACTGCTTCTGCTTGTGCTTCTTCTTTTACTCAAAAATAATTATTCTTTCTAAAAGTTTGGCCAAATAACTTAATTTAAAAAAAAATAATTACGGAAAAAGAAATTGGCCATACAAGCTAGTATTAACTTGTAACAGTAAGCAACCAACCATACCAAAGACCAAATCTTCTTCTTCTTCCTTTATAATGGGATTTTAGGACTGTGTCAATAACCAATTTGTCCCAGTAAATACTCCCTCTAGACTCCATTTGACTTATTCGCTTTCTTTATTCTGAGTGTTCAACATTGTACTAATCAACTAGTACATTACACCGCAGTTTTCCTTTTCGCATATACCCAATTGGCTGTTTTTGCTACTGTGATCTTCTCCCCAAGAAAACCATTGCCCATTTAGTAAAGAATTTTTTCTTTTGGCTCACTGATCAGTGAGTAGTGATCAACTCACTGCGCGTTACGTTTGACAAAAAATTGGTTACAAAATTGAAAGTTTTCGCCTGGGAAAATTGCCACTTTGGCATAAATGATGACAAATTACTATCAGCTTGTGAAATCTACTTCCTATGAAGATTCTTTAAAGGCAATTGAGGCTGATATTCAGTATGCCAATTTGCTGTAAGTTCTATATTGACAATATATATATATGTACTTGCATGCCTGTGTAATCTATTTGATTTTTCTTTTCAGTTTTCCTTCTTTTTGTGCTCTTCCACTGCTATATGAGGAATTGAGTTTCTGATTAGGGAATCGAACTCCCAAGTTAAGCCATGTCAAATTATATTTAATTTTTAAATTAGTTTCCTTTTCTGGTTTGGGACGAGGGATACTGTTATTAATTAATGCGATTGCTTTTGGTTTTTCTTTCCGTTAATTACAAGATAAAACATTTGTTTACTTTCTTTCTCCCCTCTACAATTTCTAAAAGATTGAACTTTTCAAGTTTCTACTGTGTTCTAATTAATTAGTTTGAAAAATCTGCCTAAAAGGAAAGGGGTTTGCTGTGGAGGTGGACTACAGCTTGCTATGTTTATCTGCATTCACACAAGTCGAAAATGTTCTTGATAACCGGAAATTATAGTAAGGGGCGGATCACAATGTATAAAGTGGATTCACGTAAACCTAATAGCTTTTGACCAGAGCTTGTATATGCAGCAACAAATATTTGATTGTGAACATGATTATTATTGTATATTAACTTGAGGTCACAGTAGAACTCATAAATTTCAAGTAACCTTCTTGTTCCTTTCCTTGGATTCTGGAAGTAACCTTCTTTGGTTTCCAAATTGGAATTTCGATTGAGCTTTTTACTTTGTTCATGTGGGCAGTTCATTGTTCAAGGAAAGGAAAATGGAAGAGCAAGTGGAGGAGAAAGTTAACCAGCTGTTTTCTTTCCTTGGTTTGAATCAAGATAAAAATGTGGAGTAACTAAACTTTTGTTACTCTATGGTAGTGAGCCCAAAAGAAAAAGGCTCCTCATTTTTCTTTTTTCTTTTTCAATGCACACCAAACAAAGGAGGCAATTCTTTTTGGAATTTCCCTCTTTCTTCCCCTTACTAACATAATATAACGTTTATATAGCCGAATTACTGGAATGGACTAATGAATTTTTCATTACCGGTCTGTATGCTAGTTCCACAGATAGCACTATGACTAGCTGAAATTTTGCAATAGCTTCAAATGATTATGTTATATGGTCCGAGAGGTGGTTTTGGTCAGTTAAATATCAGTTTTTATTAAGTGCAGCGATATAAAACTTTATCACAGTTAAAACTTTATGAATTCCTTAATTGGCAATATTAGAAGTTCTCTCTTTAGTAATTTTTGACATATCAAGTTCACATATAGTTGAAAATTAAATGATGAGACAATACAATGAAAGAGTAATCTGCAATGCAAGAGTTATTGATGGTAAGGAATATTGTTGAACGCACTAAGTAGGTCTCAGAATAGTACTTTTTGCTATCTGTATGAGAGTATGAAAGTCTTTGTATCTGCAATCTTCAATTTCCTTTCTGTTGTTTCAACTGTTCTGGGTTTATAACGCTGAATTTGCTGGTGATTATATAGCCAATTGCTAAAATGTGTCGCTGGACAAATTGTTGTTCTGGCTGCAGTCTTAAACAGCAAAGATAACCTTTTTGTCACTCTAAATTACGTGTTCCAGGGCAGCTTCTATTCCAAGGTTCAAGAATGGCACTTGTCTACAAATGAAATTGGTGTACAGTAACTTGGCACCGATACTTTTGTTCTTGCTCCAGCGGATGGATTGCTCATGCACATGCTTACTTCCAAGTTATTTCAATCTCTTCCACATAGTTGTATACAAAGTTTGTTCTCTATTCTCGGGTTGTTAGTTTCTTCCCATAGTCCTAGTAGGTTAAGGTTTTTATAGATTAAGATAATTTTGTCATATTTTGTTGTAATAAAAGTTCGTGATGTCTTTTAGGTTATCCCCAATAGCAAGAAGAAGATTCCTTTAGATGGGAGGAAAGCAAGCATTAGAGAATTCTATGGTATGTACCATTTTTCATTTATCTAGCTTCAAGCCTTCAACTAGCAGGCTAAGAGTAACCCAAAGGAAAAAAAGGTTTGGTAGTCTAAGAGCTATAGAATTAAATCTTCTTGACATTGTATTCTGATATGGATTGAATTTCAGTTAATGAGTATCTGTTTTCATGCCATTAGTAAATAGAGAAACCTCATAGTAATTAGATTTGGGCGAATTTTTTGATATTTTATTGTGCGTCTCCTAAGTCAACAATTTGTCTCAAACTATATCCGTATATGTGGCCACTTATTTCTCTGACAAATAGCAATTTGCAGCGGTTCTATTACCATCTCTCCAGCGCTTACATGATAGCTCATCAGAGCAGGATAGTAGTCAAGACGAACATCAAGTGTCAAAAACGATCGTTGGGAAGAAAGTACAAGAGAAAAAGCATTTCGATGCTGATCTAGAGAAAGAAGATGAATGTGGAATCTGCTTAGAACTGTGCACCAAAATAGTTTTGCCAAACTGCTATCATGCAATGTGCATTAATTGCTATCGTGACTGGCAAGTGATATTCTTTTCCCTTGTTTTCTTTTTCTGGATCGCTCATTATTACTTTTTAGTGCCAAACGAATAAGTTTTTTAGTGATCTTCTTAACCCATGATGTCTGCTGCAGGAACTTAAGGTCCGAGTCCTGCCCATTTTGCAGAGGAAACCTCAAAAGAGTGAACTCAGGAGACCTGTGGGTTCTCACGGGCAATAGTGACATTGTTGACCAGGAAACTCTTTCAAATGAGGACATGTTGCGTTTCTATCTTTACATAAACAGCCTGCCTAAAGATACTCCAGAAGCCCTCTTCTTGGTTTACTATGAATATTTGATATGATTTAAGTTCTGAACTTAGACCTTTGACTAGAAGTTTAACAATGCCGACCAAAACCTGTGGATAGAGTCTGGTGAAGCCTTCTTTTTCTTTAATTCAGCAAAGAAGCTGTTACCTCACTTTCAGCACTCTGAGAAGTACTATTTGATTTGTAAGCATTTCATCTTCTGTTAGTAGAGACGCTAAGATACGGCCTGTGATATCTTTCAAGAGACATGTCTTTTGCAATTAAAGAGTCAGACAAATGTAAAAACGTTTATAATGCTCGTGAAAAAATCATACCACAGTGAGGCAACATGTTAGCTTGCATTAGAAAGTAAGAAGATGGATTGACCATTATTCAGGCTCTTGCCTCTACAATCTTATCTGGTCTTTATATCCATGTTCAACTTTCCCATTTTGTGAGTGGTACTTTGAAAGCTAAATTTCTTAGGCCTCGTCCATGGAAAGGAGATCAGCTTGTAAAATGAGGTCCAAAGATGCCCCAAATAGTCAAGTCTTTTAACATGCTAAAGGTCAAAGCAATGGTTTCTTCTGTCAAGTATTTGGATGAAGCTGCTGATCTCTTGGCCCATGTTCTTCTGATATTTAAAACAGCAAATACACTCAATAACCTTGAAAATGGATGGTCTTGATTTTTTGATGCTTGCTTGCCCCATGGGCAAACCTTTAAATCAAAAGTCAAAAGTGTTGCCTATGGGCAAGCGAGGGGCAACATATGTTAAACTTGAAATTCTGCCCATGGGATAAGCGGGGTCAAAAGATCAATAGTGTGTCCTATTTCTGTCATTCACCCTGTCTTCTGTAGAGACTAAAATTCAAATCAAACTTTATCTTTTGCTGTGTCTGGAGAGAGCACAAATAGCTGTTTTTTAGCACTGCTATTTAAAGAACAGCTGAAGTTTACAAAAAGTTTAAATTTTAGCCGCTTCTTCATCTTTAAATCTTCAGGTCTGCAGTTGACGGCTATCAAAGCGACATTCAACTGCAGCCTCAGTTTCAAATCTTTGGTCTGGAGTTTAACCTAAGCCTGAATGTCGAGGATTTAGTGATCTCTCCACTCTGTGCTAAGGTGAGCGGACCACTTGGTCCGTGGGCGCTAGAGACTTTATTTTGTTTCAGTTTATGATATCTGGCTACATCCGTGAACTTTGTACTCAATTTATTTTAGATGCTCCATTACTAGACGTGGGATTGGTGGGTTTGCTACTCTTTTACGTTGTTTACATTGTTCCCGTTGCTATGTTATGAAAGATGCTATTTTATGACTAGTGGTTTCCTAGTGAAGGAATATTGTTATGGAAACTGATTCATTTGGCATGTGTAGTTGCTCGCTAAGTGCTGGTCAGTGGTCACACCCGTAAATTTTGGGTCGGGGCAGAATTAGCTATATTATCAAGGATGAACGATGAAGTTAATGTTGACGGCAACAAATCGGGTTTAGCATGTTAGTTTTCCTCATTGTGAAATGGGTGTCACATGAGCAACTGCTGTAGTTGGCACCGAAAGAGAAGAGGGAGAGAAAGGAGGAGTTTCTAATTTACTTTCTCAAGTTGCAAATAATGAAGTTCTCTGGCATACCATAAGAAAATTGGAAGTACCATTTTGTTAAACAAAAGTTATAATTGATTTTAAAAAACTTTATTATTTCTCTGTTATCATTATTTGATCTTTTTAATTTATCAAATTTTGTTATTTTCTTGTACGATGATATTAAATTTCTTTTTTAAGTCTCCAATTTCTAAACGGCACTTGTGCCTTCTATCATTTGATCGCATATTGCAGGAAATATTTTTGGGATTTTATTCCGTCGCTTGATTTCTAACTAGTGAGATATTTTTGGGACATTGACCATGGATAGCATGTGGTGGAGGTTGAGAATTATGGTAGAAAGTTAGTAGGTAGTAGTGCGTTTCCCTTTATCTTCAGTAGTTCGTTAGTGTTACAGTTAGAATGGTACCCTTTTATTCTGAGTTTGCTATTTTCGCATATCTTGTTCTGTTATTACTTGTCACTAGTACTTCAATAGTTTGCTATCAATGCTCCTTTCATATTCTCTACGGCAAAGAGCCAAATATACCCTTGTACTTTCGAAAATGGTCTAAGAATACCCCTCGTTATACTATTGGATTATCTATACCCATGCCGTCATACTTTGGAACAAAAATACTATTTTGGATGGAGTGCCACGTGGCAGCACCAAATGAAAATGATCCATTTCATTTTTTTTACCCGATCCATTTTAAAAAACCTACCACCCGACCCAATTTGCTAAACTTAGCATCTTTAGTTTTAAAGCAATTTTTTTGTAAAAAATGAAAAAGAAAAGATTCAACAAAATATTTTCGTTTTTTTAAAAAACTAATGCACATGTAGCCCACTAGTTTAGGGAAGTCTTTTTTTTTTTTTTTTTTTTTTTTTTTTTTTTTTTTTTCAGTTTTTTAAGTTTTTTTTAAAGCATATTTTTTTTGTAAAAACTTAAAAAAGGATTTTGCAAAATATTTTTGTTTTTTTTAAAACTAATGAACGCGTAGTCCACTGCTTTAGGAAAGTCTTTTTTTTTTTCCAGTTTTTACAAAAAAATATTTTTTTTTCAGTTTTTACAAAACGAAAATATTTTGTTGAATCATTTTTTTCAGTTTTACAAAAAAATTACTTTAGAAAATTACTTTTCGGGTATGGGTAATGGGTATGAGTCTTTTTAATTAATATTTTTCAGTTTAAAAAAATGCTTTAAAAAAATATTTTTCAGTTCTCTTTAAAGCATATTTTTTGTAAAAACTGAAAAAAAAAAAAAGATTTTGCAAAATATTTTTATTTTTTAAAAAACTAATGCACATTTAGTCCACTACTTTAGGAAAGTCTTTTTTTAACCTGGACTGACTTGGGTAAAAAAATGGACTGACTTGGGTAAAAAAGTAACTTGGGAGAAAAGTCATCCTACACGTTTTTGAGAGCCTTATTTTGGCTGAAAACGTGTCTACTTAAGGAAGATAATTTTCACCCAATAACTCACCTTTTAGAGTTATATTGTTCTTGCCCACTCAAAGCATATTCGTCCAAGGTATTACCAGGATCATAGCAGAAGACTGCAACTCTGGATTCTTGCTGTGTGGAGAACCTTTGCAACGATTTCAAGAGGTAAGTGGTTTCTAATCTCGTAATTGTATCATTGTCTAGTTTACATGTATTTGATGCCTGAATTGTATGCTTGCTTCCGCTGCGCATGTTTTAACAATTGGTATCAGACGTCGTCTTACAACTAGATAATGTAATACAACATGAATAGAGTAATATTAAAACGTGTTGTTTAATGATACATGCTTGGTATAATTATTCTATGTCAAAAACGTGATTGTTTTTATTAGTATTTTAATTCTGTTATTATGGATTAATATACATATGCATAAATAGTGGCGTTATATTTAATGACAATTTATTCAATTATATTTTTGTTGAATAACGTGATTGTTTTCAAGAGAGTTCAAGCATGACTGTTTTTCATAATTAAGTTTATGGATTAACAGTGTTGGTTTAATAAAAATGTGGATGTTTTTAATGCTATCAGTTCTGAAATTATGAGTCAATATACGTAATTATGAACAGTGGCATTTTTAAACGGGGTGAAGAATATTTTTTTTTACAATTATGTTCGAAAACAGTTTTTTAAATAATAATAAAAATATTATTTTGAGTTCTGAAATCATGAATTAACATAAATAAGTATATTATGTGATTTGAACGAGTCAAAATAATTAAAACCCTTAAAAACAGCAAAAAATAGAATACTACAAATAGGTCATGAATTTGGAATTCTGAAATTCTGTCGAACTCCGATTTACCTCAAATTTGGTAGGTTCATCGGAAACGACCCAGTGAGCAATACTCATCAGCTTGGCTCATGACGTACGTCGGTTTTTGGGCATTCGGGTCGTTTATATAGGTTTTTGGCCATTTTTCTATTTTCTGAAGAAAAAAAATATAAAAAGATTTTTTTAAAAAAAGAAATCATTGATGGTAGGGTTCAATTCCCATGGTTTTCAATCATGTTTTACAGTAATATAATGAATTTATATGTTGACATAGGTCTTCTTCCACTTCGGATAACTTCATTATAGATGATTACTGTAGTTTTGCCTCTAGTTATTTGATTACTTGTATTAACTCTCCAACTGAGTTACATGTTGATTCAATGAAACTAGAGTTTATAAAAGTGATATTTACCTATCTTAAATTAACAGTTTACTCTCCCTCTGAGTTGGTCCTGTTTTAATTTATGGGGTAAATATCTTACATAACTCATATATTTTTTTGCATGAATAGTTAAGTTTTCCTAACGAATCTAACTGTTCAATGAGCATGGTTATATGTGTAATGTTCTGTTTTGAATTTAATTATTCTAAATACATAACTAATGATCTATTTAATGTGAATATCTCTCAGATTAACCATGTCTTCATTCAACCCACTTACCTCAATTTTGAACCAAAACAAGTTGGAAGGACCGAATTATGTTGACTGAAAAAGAAACTTTGATATTGTCCTACTGCTGAAGGTTACAAATTTATAATCACTGAGAAGTGCCCAGAAAAATCTGAAAATGCTACTGATGATTAGGTTAAGGCCTATGATAAATGGGTTAATGCTGATAAGATGGCGTGATGTTACATTCTTGCCTCTATGGCGAATATTTTGCAACATCAGCATCAGTCTATGGGGTCTGCTTATGACATGCTCGAAAGTCTCAAAGAGATGTTCGGTGAGTAAAATCGTGCGGCTAAGAAGACAGCCATAAAAGCCCTTTTGAACATCAAGATGGCTGAAGGATCATCGGTCAGGGACCATGTTCTGAAGATAATGAGTCTTCTGAATGAACTAGAGGTCCTTGGAGCTATGATTGATAAGGAATCTCAAGTTGAGATGGTCCTGCAGACTCTGCCTGACAGTTTTCAACAATTTCGCTTGAACTATAATATGAACAAAATGGATTTGTCACTGGCGAAATTGTTGAATGAGCTGCAAGCGGCAGAATCTATTATCAAACAGCAAGCTCCAATTGTGGCACTCAATGTTGAGAAAGCTTCGGTTTCTAAGTCGAAAGGCGATAAGAAAAAGAAGAAGGCTCAAAAGGTTTTGGCACCTGGAGGTGCGACTGGTGTGAAAAAACCCAAAGGAAAGTGCTATCATTGCAAGCAACCTGGGCATCACAAAAAAATAATGCCCTGCCTATCTGGCAAAGTTGAATAAACAAGGCAATTCAAATTTAAATGCCGTTGAAACTTGTTTAGCGGCTATCTCTACCATATTTTGGTGTATAGATTCAGGAGCCACTAATCATATCTGCACTACTTTGTAGGGGTTTCAGGAAATGCGACGGCTAAGTGAGAATGAAGTTTGTATTTTTTAAGCCAATGGCGAGCTAGCACCAGCTTTAGCATTAGGAGATATTAGAGTTTTGATTAGTAGTAATAAAGTTTTAGTTTTGAAAAATATTCTCTATGTACCTTCTTTTAGAAGAAATTTGATTTCGGTTTCAAAAATAATGGATGCTAGTTATAATATTTATTTTGCTAATAACACTGCTGTTATTAAGTTTAATAAATGTTTTATATATACTGCTGCTAGAGTACATGACCTTTTTATTCTTGATATATCTCCTCATGTTCTACAACAACCAAAAGAATTAAATAGCATTAATATGCTACATAAAAAAAACGTATTTCTGAATTTAGCTAAACTTATTTCTGGCACTTACGTCTAGGTCATATAAATCTAAATAGGATTCGAGATTGGTCTCTGATGGACCTTTGAGTTCATTGAAAGTGAAGTCACTGCCAACATGCGA